CTGATTGCAGTGATTCTTTGACTTCATGTTTCTTAATTTCATTATTCAGAGCAGATTATTTGCTGACACAGCAGGTAAGCAGATCACGAAACAAGTTACAGCTGGTAGGAATTGAAGTGCTTGCTTGTGTTTAGCTTCTGTCAGTGGCTTGCTCTTTACTAAAAATACTGCTAAAGCACAGCAGTATTGGCTATATGTAAAATATGGGGTGAAAAGATAGCAGAGTCAGATTTGTATTTAGAAGATCACTTTTGGGGCTTTGTGCAAAGCCCTACTTAATCTAAAGTAATAAATCAGCGGGGACTTCATCTGTGAAATTAATGCACTGGAGAACTCGAAAGTTACTTTCAAGTTGAAGCCTTAGAGAATCTGCTCCTGAAATATTCTTGGTGCAGTCTTTCAGGGCAATTTTCTTTTTCTTTTTTCCTTTTTTTTTTTTTTCCCCCCTCCCTCCATTTAATTTAGTCCAAGACTTAGTGTGATAGTTGTGAAGAAACGAGTAAATACCAGATTCTTTGCACAGTCTGGTGGAAGACCTCAAAATCCACCCCCTGGTACTGTTGTTGATGTAGAGGTTACCAGACCAGAATGGTAAGTTTGTACAGAAGTAATATATCAGTTTGCCGGTGTCCCGATAATAAAGGGAATATATCCAATGTTACATTGACTGTGGGAAGTAGAAGAATACTTTCCACGCTTCTGCCCTTTCGAAAAGAAGTTCTAGGGAATGTATAGATGAAAGAACTGGAGATGCTTAACATCGTATGCATCCACTGTGCAATATTTCATAGTTTCCAATATGTACGTTTGTATATATTACAGCATTATATATGCTTTAAGTAAGTTTGTGTGCATGTGTGGCTTTTTGGTGTTTTATTCTTGTTTTCTGGTTTAGTACTGAATCGGTGACTACTGACAGGATTGCCCAACTCTCCTAACTGAAATTAAATTCTGGCTGGCTGTAGTACAGACCTTACACTTTAAGCTTTGTTACTTTGTAAGGGTGCAATTTACGAGCAAGCGTTGGAACTTTTGGTTGATGATTGGGAACTCACTTTAAGGAGACTAAGAATTACGCAGTGCGTTGGGTGCATATGTAAAACCTAGGCACGCATCTCATTGATTTCACTTGCTGGCTGTTGATAGTGATTGTTTTTGTAAGTCCCACTCCATGGATCTCTCGGGACAGGCACCTGGGAAATGGGGGAAAACATACTTAATGCACAGTGAAAGGTTTGACTTTGACTGGTCAGGGGACTCTGGAGCATGTAGAACAGAACCTAGTCTTCAGTGGCAGTGCACAATTACAATAACTAGTTTTGCCTCTTTCCTTGTATTATCCCACCTCACTTACTGCATGCATCCCCAGGTTTGTGACTAGTTTCACAGACATCCAAAGACGGCTTAGGGTGATGTAGTAAATAAGCTTCATAACTAATCTGCACATACACTTAGTTATCAGGAGGAAAGCTATATGATGAAGCGCTAAAACGTTCTTGCCCTGAAGACCGGTGGCATATAGTAGGACTTGTATTCTTCCAGGTATCTTGTCCTTCCAAAAAAGAGGAAGCTGTGTTATTTTGCAACCAAAGCGCAGATATGTTTATGGGGTTTACTGACCATGCCCTAAAGAGGCTTTAGGGAAATAAGTAGGATAAATCTTGGGGGTGGGATTGGCTTCTTTCTAACAAAAGCAGCCTTTTCCATATGAAACTTCTGGGGTTTTGTTTCTTCTATTACAGGTATGATTTCTTCATTGTGAGCCAGGCAGTGAAAAGTGGTAGTGTTGCACCAACTCATTATAATGTAGTTTATGACAGTAGTGGACTGAAACCAGATCACGTACAACGTTTAACATACAAACTTTGCCACATGTACTATAACTGGTCGGTAAGTATTTTCTCTAGGAAAGAATAATATTTTTCTTAAAAGATTGAGCAGTATGCAGTAACAGGTAAGATTGATAAGGTGTGCAAAGAAGAATTGGTGGAAGAACATACCCATAGAACACCCACCCAGATCCGAAAAGCCTGCAATTATGCCTCTTGACCTAGAGTGGTGGTCTGAGAACCAGGCAATTTTAATGTGACTAATCTCTGTGAATTTTGAAGATTTAAAGTAACTGTTAGTCTCACTACAGAATATTTGCTGTCTTGAGCATTGTCCCCAAATGTTATGTTAAAAGCAAAACTGAAATGATTGTTTCTTACCTGCAGAAATACTTACTTCTTTGTGTGGAGTGGAGATGGAACTGTGTCTCCATTTCATGCAGGACCTCTCCTTTTGCAAACCAGGATCTGCACACAATCAGCTCATGCCTGAAATGTGCTTTAGATTTGTCAGTTTGGTAATCGTTAACCCCTCACTTGACTTCCCTGTGCCCTGTCCCCTGTGTGATACAGCACTGATTGTAAACCTGCATGGCAGACTTTTTTTGTGGGGGGGGGATGGAGGAGAGAGCCTGTTTGAACCTGGTCTCCTGTAAAACACGTTTTTTAATGCATTCAGCATAATGTTTGACAAATCTGCACAGGGTACAGGGAATATAAACTTGACAAATACCCAAACTCCTGAATTCCAGGACTCTCTCTGTTACAGTGAATGCATGCTTTGTTAAATTAATTGAAAATAATTCCTTTTCTTTTTTCTCTTCCGTAGGGTGTCATCCGAGTACCTGCTCCTTGCCAGTATGCCCATAAGCTGGCTTTCCTTGTAGGTCAGAGTATTCACAGAGAACCAAACTTGTCGCTTTCAGATAGACTGTACTATCTTTAAAGTTGAAATGTCAGTTGCAAAAAATAGTGCACAATGGAATGTATAATTTTCAGGTTTTCGGGTTTTTTTTTGTTTGGGGTTTTTTTTTAGCTGTATGTGTAGAGTAATGTAAATGCACGGCTGTGGAACTTTGTTTTCACTGTAGAGGGAAAAAAACTTGAGACAGCAGATCTGCATTTTGAATAGGACTCTGCTTGCTATAAAGGAAATGTACAATATTTTTTCTTGGATTCTTCACAAAATAATATAGGTTATTTTTGGTCTTATCTTTTTTGGGAAGTCTTATGCATAATAATATATACATATATATATATTTTTTAAGCACACAGGGTATTGAGTTATGTTGACCAAAACCTCAGCTTCTCCAGTTCTCACATTTATCTGCATTTTGAAAATGAAAAGTTAACACACCTTTGTTTTCTTGGCTGTTAAAAGGTGGGCAAAATTTTGTCTCCTGAGCTCTTTCATACTGACTGCCCCCTAAAACAAGGGGGGCCATCAGCTATTCTTAGTTATCAAGGTGCTATTCTAAGACTGCGTATTACTGCAAAAACCTATGAAAGAATTTTTAATGCTTGCCCTTGCAAGTGAATTGCAGGAAAATGAAAAACTGTATTGTGCTCACTTGTCTTCCTCTAGCAATAGAGGAAGTGGGGAATTGGCAAAACCTAAGGGAAAAGTTCTGGATATACCAAAGTTTCATGAAAAGTCAGAGGCAAAATTATGTTTGTATCTATCACAGATAGAGGAGCACCTCTATTATCTGAAACTACAGACTTTCTCCTAAAAGCGATGACTTTTACCACCTTGAATGCTGTTATGTGGGCTTTATTACTTAGCATGGGCTATTAACATGCTTTTTCCAAGTACAGAAATCATATTAATAGCATAGTATAAGTAAATCATTGTTTTAGATGACTGCAAATGCCTAACTGGAACTAAACGATCTTGGTCGACAAAGGTTTTTCTCATCTAACAAGCATTAAATTAATTTCCATCAGAGAACATCAGTGCCTACATCAGCACTGGCTTGCAAAAAACAACATCCTAGATGTACTATTCATGGGGTTTTCTTGACTATGCATTTCCAAAAAATTGGAATTGCTTTGGCAGTAGTTGGATTGTAATTTCATGCAACACTTGGCATGCTCCTAAGATTTCCATAGGTAACTATTAAGCAGGACTAGCTTAATTTCTAAAGCAAAAAAATCCTGCTTTAAAAAATCCTGTGTTTGTGGAAGATGACTTCAGGTTTGTTTGTGAGCGTGGTGTTTTGTTTTTGGGGTTTTTTTGGTATTATGAGGTGGCCAGTCAAAGTAGTGCATAGAGAAGGGGAAACATTTGACTTTGTGCTGTGTTTTGTGTGGGTTTTTTTTTTTTTCTTTTTTTAACTAACTGTTGTGCAATTATCTGTTCCTTTTCTTTGAGAGATTTAAATAAAGTTGTTGCTGCTGTAGTATTTGCTTGTCTGATCATGTTAGATGTATTGTTATACAAACTTGTAAGACTGGCTTCTAGGCATACTGTGCGACATATGCTAGAGTAACTTCCGTGACTATTCTTTGCCTCTGAAAAGCTCCTGGGGTCTTTCACTTGGATCAGGCTTCATTCTACAGTAAATTCAGACTATATGGTTCTGAAAAATGAGTAAGCTCTGTACCTTATGTTTGTCTATTTTATTTTTTATTTTATTTTTCTACCTTGAAAGAACTGTGCAGACCTCTTTTTTGCCCATGAACCTTGTAATGTAGCTTTCTCCATTCAGTACTTCGTATCTCGTTATTTCTTCCTAGTTACATATCATTTCTTTATACCTATCCTGGCTATTCATTCTAATCTGAGTTCTGTTATTTGAGGTCAGTGAAGAAGTCTAGTGTAGCTGCTCCCCTAAGATTAGAGAGAGAGAGAGAGAAAATGAATACTGCATCCTCTTTCTTCTTCTCCACTTGGGTGCAGTATTTGAACATCTTGCCCGCACCATTATTGTATACTTGCATCCCACCACAGTTGAAAAGACTGATTTACCTTACCAGTTGTATCTCTTTTTTTAAAGATACAACTCTTTTAAAGATTGCCCAGAAATCTAGAAGCTGACGCAGCAGATAGATGTACAAAACATACTGCAGTCTACAAAATACCAAATTAATTTATTTATATAAAATATATTACACAACAGTTGTACACATGCACACACCCGCACAGTACTTTACCACACATTTAGGCCATTTTTTTTTAAATGAAATGTTATAGTCTAGCACACAGTATCTTACAGTAATTTACATTTTTATCTGAAGACACAATGGGGAAGCTTTGATCATTCATTTATAAACCTTCCATAAATTACAAAAAAGAAAGGCCGTCTGAAAAGTATGTATAAACAGTAAAAACAATTTACAAATGGACAAGAATTACAAAATAGTCACAGCCAATGACTGCCACCACTGTGTACTTTTTTTTTATTTTTAAATCATTTGAGATGCCAATATTGCAGCTAATTTGATTATCAGCTGTTGCAGCCTTTTTACTGACTGCGGCTTGTGTATATAACAAGTTTTCATTTGAGTGTAGACATGCGCTTCAGCTTGAATCTGACATCAGCAATATGAAAATGCCTTTTAACTTAGGACTGCACCTCCACAGCAAAAAAATGGGGAGCAAAACTTTTTTTCTGGTAACTTTAAAAGGTTTAAACCAGCAGCTTGAAAACTGGAGTTCGTATAATTGAAACTGGGTGTATTTTCTGAATAACTTACACTGTATCTGGCTTTGGTTTAGTGAATATGCTGACAAAAGAACGCCATACAAGGGTGTTTTGTTTTTCTATTTTTTTTGTTTGTTTTGTTGGGGAAAAAAATAAGAAAAAGCATTTTGCACAACACTCTCATACTCCCAGGATTTACATTAGACATTGTAATGGAGTCAGCAACATAGTACTTGATCTTAAATTACCATGTTTTAGGGAAGATGAAGACAGTTAAATACACAGTACATATAAAGTATACGCTGTTTATTTATTAGACAGTACAAATCATTGTGCATTAATAAGGCAAAACATCAAGGCTGATTAAACTAGGAGTTTCAAGACCATTGTTGTTTAGGATAAAGATTAGGTAGGGTAGGGTGATCTCTTTGAACCACGATCAGCGAAGAGGCTTTTCTTTCCCTCGCTCATGGTTAAAGAAAACTAAATGCTGAGACCTATCCAATGAAGTTACAGGTGTGGAGATGACTTCAGATAAAACCACGTTTGCCTTCTGGTCTCATTTCCGCCCCTCCCCTCCCCCAACTTTCTTTCTTTCTTTCTTTCTTTCTTTTTTAAAGAAGGGGGGAAAAAATTGTGTTTGTGACAATCAGTTTTAGCAGCAACACATCCACTTCCTTTTTTTTCTTGCTAGTTTGATTATGCAATTCACATGATTCTAGTGATGCCAGAGGTTTTAAAAAAAAAAAAAAAGGTGAATGTTCAGTAAGTTGTTGTACTGCATAGTCATGAAAGCCCTAGTTTTGATGTTTTAAAAAAAACAATAATAATACACAGATTGGAAGCTTTACAAGTTGTCCAGGAGTACATGAATCATTTCACTGCACCAAGCTTTTTCAGTAGTTTCTTGCCTTTGGAAAGCAGCCCCTTTTTCTTTTTCGAGGACATATCCCTGCCTCTCCCGGGACTACCAGAACCCATAGATGACGTAGGTGACCCAGAATGGAGATGAACTGTGGGGGATGGTGCTCTCCTTGATGTACCTGTATTCTCAGGAGGAACCTATTAGGTACATTGTTATAATTTATTGAATGTTTGAAAGCTTAAAAGCTGTTAGCATCAAGAAAGTTGGTAACATCACTACTTATCCCATTACCCACTTACTTAAACAAAAGATCTGGTTCATTTCTTCTTTGTGGCTTAAGATACCATAGGGATTTATGGAAACTATATAAATTTTTGAAGGGGGAGGGGGGGAAGAAATACAGGCATTAGAAAACACGCACTCCAGTAGAACGCAAAGGTGGTTACATTTTTAAAGAGTTGGATACACTGGTTTGGCCCATAGTTCTGGCAGAAGCAAACAAAACTGGTTTTGTATTACCATACTCTTGAGAGTGAGCACATCACAAAAAAAAAAAAAAGAGGGACACTTGTAGCTATGGATTTAAGAAAATTAAAATGTGTTGCTTGCCACAAATTAGCAGTGTGTAGAAGCCAAACACTTTCCAGAAAGAACTACTGCAAATGCTACTTTTTTTTTTTTTTAAAGTGGCCTTTATATGCCTTTTCCTTAAAAATTAGCTAGCATACTTTATATACATAGTTGAGAAGATGGCACACTGGTTTAATAAAAGAAAAAAAAAAAAAGAGAAAAGCTAAAATGAACCTTAATTGCAATCAAAGAAAGCTTAAAGACCCTGACTGCTTGATGTGTATGCTGCAGCTCTGAGGTTGCTGAGTGAAAGTGAAGACTTGTACGCTAGAATGACAGCATTCCTAAATATTTTAAACAGCGCTAGGCTTTTTGATGATTCAAAAATACTTATATGAAAATGCTAAAACGACTTATACTAAGCCTATGGCTAACTACAGTGCCCTGCTGACAAAACATGGTACTGGCTGTTAAGGTAGGT